AATAATATTCGAATGAAATATTATATGAAACATCAATGATTTTTATGTATAAAACAAAATCAATAGTATATGAAACAATACATATATTTTATGGAACATAAGTAGTATAAAATGAAACATAAGGTATGTTTTTTGAAACATCAATAAGGTATAAGAAATCACAGTAAACCTAGTTCATATAGAGCCCAACTATATGAAACAAGCAATAATATATATGAAACATTAATATTATAAATTGAAACACTTAATATATTTTACGAAACATCATTAATGACGTACACTTCAACTACATTTTAACGTAACGTTCGAATTTATGTGAACCTTGCATTTTACTGAACAATCTATTGGTTTTCCAATGCAAATTAACGTGTTTCAATGCAATAAATAATAAAAAGCATATAATAATGACAGCTTTTGACAGATTTTGTGTCCCAATACAAATTACAATATCATTATTATATGAAACAACACATATATTTTTGATAAGTGGCTTTTATGCCACTATTCGGGATCCTTTTTCCTATCATTTCCCTCCATTTATCGCTTGTTTAGCCCTATTTTTGCCGCGCTTCTCCATATATTGCACAACAATGCTATTTCCCTCGTACTTCCCCTCTACTCTACCTTTTTGTGCTGTTTTTGGGTGTTTTTCTGTGTTTTGCAGGTAAACCAATAGATACGTGAAGTAGAAGAAAGTTCGGGATAGTTTCGAGAGCCAGTTTCAATAGCAAATCAAGTGAGGAGCTTTAATCAGGCTGTGCGCCCAGGAGAGCCCTCTCTCCAGCTCTGCGCGGGCGCGCAACCCAAGGGAGAGGGCGCGCATTCAAGGCCAAGTCAGGATGTAAACCTCGTAGATGCCTCGCGCTCAGTAGAGGGCGCGCTACTCATCCTGCGCGGGCGCGATGATCTCTGGAGAGGGCGCGCAGATTAGCTTGAACTCTTGAAGATTGAAGGCAACTTTCTGTAGATGCCAAGCGCGCTCAGTAGAGGGCGCGCAGTATACTTCGCGGGCGCGCAGATGTTAGTAGAGGGCGCGCACACGAAAGTTCGCGGGCGCGCAGACTTTAGTAGAGGGCGCGCACCTCATCCTGCGCGGGCGCGATGATCTCTGGAGAGGGCGCGCAGATTAGCTTGAACTCTTGAAGATTGAAGGCAACTTTCTGTAGATGCCAAGCGCGCTCAGTAGAGGGCGCGCAGTATACTTCGCGGGCGCGCAGATGTTAGTAGAGGGCGCGCACACAGAAGTTCGCGGGCGCGCAGACTTTAGTAGAGGGCGCGCACATCATCCTGCGCGGGCGCGCAGATGTTAGTAGAGGGCGCGCACACGGAAGTTCGCGGGCGTGCAGACTTTAGTAGAGGGCGCTCACATCATCCTGCGCGGGCGCGCAAAGAGCTGTAGCGGGCGCGCACGCCGTCAGCCCAGCCCGTTTTTATTTCCCTACTTAAAAGCTGATTTGAAAAGGGAATGAAGGCAGCTATTCCATTTAGGGTAATATGCTTAGAACATTTCTAGAGAGAGAATAGCCTCCATTGATGCTTGTATAAGTTTTTAGAGAGAGAAAATTCAGATTCTTAGTCTTTTATCACCCAAACTTTAATCTTTAATCTAGATTAGTGCTTTAATCATACTTGTAATCAATTTTGGAGCAATCTATTGGATTTTTGATGGTTCACCATTGAAGGTTCAAAGACCCATTTTCTTATTTCAATACAAGGTTGAAGCTTTGTGAGCTCTTTCTATCTTAATCCCTTTTATTTTGATTTATTTACGTATTTCAAGTATTTTGATTGATATGTTGATGATTTTGATTATGGCCAATATTTTGGGTATTGTTGATATGTGTAGTTTCTCTCTCCTTGGCTAGACTTTTAGCTAGGGGAAGGGGAATGGATGACTTGGTTGCTATTTGACTAAATACTTGATTTTTGGGGATTTAAACCCTTGTTGTATGAACTTGTGCTTATTGTTATATGGTTGATGTTGTGCACCATTGACTATATTATTACATGTCCTAATTGATGTGCGGGAGTGATCATGTTAGGATAGATCGTAGTTTATACATTGCTTAATCAATTGCATGGGAATGAATTGTGTTAAGTAGAATCCTTGCTCCCTTGGTTCCAAATCCTTGATTATCTATGTGTTTAGCTCTTGATCTCCAAGTTGATGTTCCCCGATCCCCCTAGCGTTTTTAATCTCATAGTCCCCAATACTTGTTAGTCTTTGTTAATTGTTAGAGTAATTTTGGTAGCCTTAGTTTATTTATTGTCTTGTTTTCCACCACTCTTATTCATATACACCCCTTTTAAAACTCTATTGCTAGCACTTAGTGTTGCAATCTCCCATTTCTCCATGGATCTCGACCCTTGCTTGCCTCTATACTCATTTAGGTAATCTAGGATTAATTTGATAGGAAAGTGTATTGACGACGACATTTCGCTCCTCATCAATTTTATGGAACATAAGTACTATAAAATGAAACATAAGGTATATTTTTTGAAATATCAAATAAGGTATAAGAAATCAAAGTACACCTAGTTCATATAGAGCCCAACTATATGAAACAGGCAATAATATATATGAAACATTAATATTATAAATTGAAACACTTGATATATTATACGAAACATCATTTACAACGTACACTTCAACTACATTTTGTGTTTCAATGCAATAAATAATAAAAAGCATGTAATAATGACAGCTTTTGACAGATTTTGTGTCCCAATGCACAAAAATTAAAAAAAAAAAATACAAACAATCATTACAATTAATGAAGGTGGCCCACGTGAATTCCCACTAATGAAACAATAAATCTGAACCATTCATCTAATAAAAATGAATGGTGTTAGATGAATTCTCATTTTAAAATGATTCTCACCTAAGCCCATGAGTTCTCACATGATCCCATTTATATATATATATATATATATATATATAGAGGAAGGCTCATATAAGAACCCTCCTCTATATAAGAACCCATTATATATAAGAACTAATCTGGACCGTGGAATTAGCTTGATCTGACCGCTCAAAATGAATGATTAGTAATGACATTTTTGTAATTTGAAGGAGTTTATTCAAATTCTTTTTCCTCTTCCTTCATCTAGTTATTTTATGTTTCTCAACTCTCAGCTTTCTCTCTCTAAAATTCTCAGCTTTCTCCCTCTCCTCAGTTCAACAGATTGGCGAAAGTTCATCAAATTCATCACGATATTTTCACAGATTTTGGATTAATTATTGTAAGTTTATTAATTTTATAATCAGATTTGTTTTAAATTTAATGATTTTTCATGCAATTTTGATGCGATTAATTTCATGCGATTATTTTGAGCATTTTCTATGTAATTGTTCTCAATATTGTTTAGCGAATATTTTGCTGCGATTTTGCTACGAATTTTATGCGATTTTGATGCGATTTTTTGCTGCAATTTGATGTGATTTTGTTGCGTTTTTATGCGATTCTCAAATATTTCCCTGATTTTTTTGCGATTTTGATATGCTGCGATTTATGTTCGATTTTTACTGATTAATTCATGTTTTCGTCAATATTTTTGCGATTTTTTGCGAATTTTCTATTCGATTTTGTTTTTGGCGATTTTCTATTCGATGTATATTTATTTTGCTCGATTATTTATCAATTCGATTGTTTGATTGTTCGAATTGTTTGTTCTTATTTTGATTTTTTTTGTTCGGTTTTCTTTTGCGATTTCGATGCTGTTTTATTTGCTGCGATTTTTTCTCAAAATTTTCCAGCTTTTTGCGATTTGTGTATGCTGCGATTTTGATGCGTTAATTTTTTCTCAAAAGGAAAAAGGAAAAAGGAAAAAGGGGGTGGGGAGGCTGGGTGGGTCCCCGGCACAGGGGATCTGTTCACCGGCGAGGTTTAGGGTTGGCTGGGTAGAGAAAGGTTAGGTGGCGGCTAGGGTAGCGACGGCGGCGAATTTGGTGGCTGGGAAGAGGAAAAGGGTGGTGGTGGTTTTTCCTTTTCCTTTTTTTTTTTTTAATTTTATTATTTCTAGATTTTATATAGTTCACTATGTTCTAAGCAAAAGCAAATTTAGAACATAGCTATGTTCTAAACAAATTTAGAACATAAAGTAATTTACTACGTTCTAAGCAAATCAAATTTAGAACATAATTCACTATGTTATAAGGAAATTTAGAACATAAAGTAATTCATTATGTTCTAAAATAATTCAAGATGTTCTAAAGTTTTCCTTCTATGTTCTAAAATTTTCCATCTATGTTATAAAGTTTACTCTTTGTGTTCTAAAGTAATTCACTGTGTTCTAAAGTAATTCATTATATTCTAAACTATTATTTAACTATCTTAGCATGTTCTAAACTTTTATTTAGCATATATTAAGTTTACTCTTTATGTTCTAAAGTAATTCATTGTGTTCTAAAGTAGACAATCTTAGCATGTTTGTCAAAGCTTGTTTAATTAGCACTAGTCTTAACTTGGGATAACTTTTGCTTTAAAGGACTACTAATGATAGATTGATTATATAGCCAATATAATGAACCCACCTTAATGCAAAGTAATCGATCATCAAATTACAATAAACGATGCTAAAGATAGTGTTTAGAAGTGCAAAAGGATATGATTAAACAAAAAAAATTACTTTTGTGATTATCTCATATAGTTGTTAGTAGTTTTTTCCTCTAGTTCAAGTGTTTTTATATACATTAGCCTACTAGCTCAACGGGTAGAGCATTGTTTGAGTTTTTTCATTAATTTCATCAATTTCGTTTTCTAGTTTTCTTTTTCTTCTTCAATTTCCAGATTTTTCCAAATTTTATTTCTAGATTTTATTTCCTTTGCTTATTTCCAGATTTTTTATTTCCAGATTTTTCTGTTTTTTTCCTTTGCTTGAGTTTTTCAACATCGTTTTCGATTTTATCCTATTTTGTTTTCCAGATTTTTGATTTTTAATGGATTTTAATTTCTGGTTGCTTTTTTGCTACAATTTGTGTTTTCAAAATAGGTTATGCATATTGATGGATTTAGATGGTGTGCAACCTAATTATCCTTCTTCCTGTGTTACTCATTCAGGTAATTTTATTGTTTTCAATGTTTTAATTTCAATTTACTTACATGTTCTAAAGTTTCTTTACTATGTTCTAACATTTATCTGTAATGTTCTGAAGTTTTCTCTGTATGTTCTAAAGTTTTCTATATATCTCTCTCTTTATATTCTAAAACTTTCATTCTATGTTCTAAAGTTTACCTTCTAATTTTAAAATTTTACTTTTTATGTTCTAATGTTTACTTTCATTGTATGTTCTAAAGTTAACCTTCTAGTTTAATTTTTTCACTTTATTGTAAATTTTATTATGTATGTTATAAAGTAATTCACTATGTTATAAGTATGTCCCTGATTTTATATGTTCTAAAGTTTATCCTTGATGTTCTAAAGTTTATCTTTGATGTTCTAAAGTTTTCTCTGTATGTTCTAAAGTTTTTTATGTATCTTTCTCTTTATATTATAAAGTTTATTTTTATGTTCTAATGTTTACTTTCATGTTCTAATGCAGTTGGTGATATTTATCGTACTCTAGAGGTTGTTGGATCATTTAGCCCTGGTGGTACCACTAAGGAATGGATTCCAAGTGTTCCCGAGGAGTTAAAACCCAGTTTGGGGATGATATTTAAAGATCCTGAAGAGGGTCTTAGTTTTTATAAAGCATATGCAAATGCCGCTGGGTTTACTTCTAGGAAATCTACTACTAAAAGGAAGAAGAATAACAAAGATATAATTGCTTTTCAATATGGAGTTTGCAATAAGGAAGGTTTTAGGGCAATAAGAAAACCTATTGCTCAACAAACAGTTTATGAAGAAGGAAAAGTTCGTATTACTAGGAAACGTTTAGTCACTCGTGTAGGATGCAATGCTCACATATGTATGAGATATGATGCTGGAAAGTATGTTGTAACTCATTTCAAAGAAGAACATAATCATCCTTTATATACTCCAAGTTGTGCAAAATTTCAGAAGGATAATAGAAAAATGCATATTATGCATAAAAAGTTGATTGTTGATAATTCAAAGGTGATTTATTTTTATTGTACTAAATAATGTTTTTTTTTTGTTTTTGATTTACTATGTTCTAAAGTTAATTCTTAATCTTAGTAATATTTTTTTTTTTTCTAACAGGTAAATGTTGGTCCTGTGAGGTCTTATACTATGATGAAAGAATTAGCTGGATCACATGATAATGTTGGTGCATCTAAACAAGATTTCAAAAATTTTTATAGAGATTTGAAGGCTTTTATTGATGGATCAGATGCCCAAATGTTTGTGGATAATTTTCAAAATAAGAAATTGCTCTGGAGTGCATTTTTTTTTCCTATGATGTTGATGAAGAAGATAGACTTTGTAGAGCTTTATGGGCTGATCCAATCTGTCGAAAAAATTATGCACTTTTTGGTGATATGTTTCTTTTGATACCACATTCAAAACAAACAGGTGATGTTTTAAATATAAATTTTTTCATAATGTAATTAATATTTTACTTTTACATATTAATTTTTTAAACATATGTTCTTATATTCTAAATATCATGCCTTGTGTTCCTAAACAAATATCCATCATGTTTTTGATGTTCTAAAACAAATATTCTTTATGTTCTAAACTATGTATGCCTTATGTTCTAAACATATATTGCTAATGTTCTACCTTATGCTTTAAAATATATCCATCATGCTTTTATGCTTTAAACATTATGCTTTTGTGTTTTACACTTTATTCTTTGTGTTTCTAAACTAATATCCATCATGTTCTAAACATTATGTCTATATGTTCTAAAGTTTACTTATAAGTTTTTAAAGCTACATTGTATATTTTTAGTTTAGTGTTTATGTTTTAGAGTAATTCATTATGTTTTAAAAACAACTATATTACTGCCACGTTTAATAATTAAATTAAATTACTATCCTCTAAAGTTTATCCTTAATGTTCTAAAGTATACCTCTATGTTCTACAATTTACCTCTATGTTCTAAATTTTACCTCTATTTTCTGCATAAATAATTTGTGTATGTTACAGATATAATATGATCTTTGGTCCATTTACTGGAGTTGATCATCATAAAAAATGTGTTACTTTTGCGGCTTCTTTTGTAGCTCATGAGGATATATCATCTTTTGAATGGGTTTTCAAAACTTTTCTTAAAGCAATGGGAAATAACGAGCCTGTGTGTTTGATTACCGATCAAGACCCTGCAATGAAAGTTGTTGTTCGTAATGTTTTTCAAACTACAGAACATAGGTTTTGTATGTGGCATATTATGAAAAAGGTGCCTGAAAAAGTAGGTCGGGCGATTGCCCAAGACACTGATTTCTTGAAAAAACTGTGTTCATGTGTTTGGCATTTAGAGATTGAGCCGGCAGAATTTGAAGAAAAGTGGAACAAAGTTATTTCAGAATTCCATTTGAACGATCATGAATGGTTGGCATACATGTACAACATACGTGATATGTGGATTCCAGCGTATTTCAGAGATTTATTTTTGGGTGGCATTATGAGAACCACATCTAGATCAGAAAGTGAAAATAATTTTTTCACTATGTTCACAAATCCCCATCTCACTTTGATTGAGTTCTACATGAGTTAATAAGTAATTGTCTATATATGTTCTAAAGTTACTCTTTATGTTCTAAAGTTTTCCTTGTATGCTCTAAAGTTTTCTTTTTATGCTTTATAGTTTTACTATTTATTTTATAATTCTCTTTTATGTTTTCTTTTTCTCTTTATGTTTTAATAATATTTAGATCATAATAAACATGTCATGTATATTTATATGTTCTAATGTAATTCACTCTATGTTCTACAATTATCTTCTATGTTTTAAAGTTAATTTCTATTTTCTATAGGTTTGAATGTGCATTGGATGCTCAAAGGCACACTCAAAATAAAATGGATAATGATTCGAAGAATAAGCGTCCGGAGTGTAAGACTCCAATTCCTTTAGAGAAAGATGCTTCTGAATTGTTTACAACAACAATTTTCTATGAATTTCAATATGAGCTTGAAATTGGATGTTTTAATTGTGGTGTTGAGGAGATGAAGAAGGACAATGAGCTTTACATTTTCAATTTGAGGGAAGGAACTAGAAGGAGGACTTTTGATGTTGTTTTTGATCCAACTACCTTTGATACCAAGTGTTTTTGTAAAAAATTTGAACGTGATGGTGTGCCTTGTAGGCATATGATTTGGGTGTGGAAGGCAAGGATGTTAGAAAAAATTCCCAAGGCCTACATTCTAAATAGATGGTGTACAATGGCTTATAAGAAGCCCATTTTTGATTTAGAGGGTAATGTGTTGGAGGAATGTATTAATGCAGTAGATAAGAAAATGTTATTAAATGATTTGTGGTCTGAAATTCATGCTTGTGTGAGTTTAGTGCAAAACAATGAAGATGATCTTAGTGATCTTGTCAAAAAACTTCGAGCCATGAGGGCAGATTTGGAACAGAAGAAAACAAATGGAAGCAACAATCTTTCGAGCAAAGTTAAAGACATTGAAATGCTTATTGGAGCTAGTCTACCTTCTAATGTTTTAATCAAACCTCCTAAAATTTCGAAGAACAAAGGCACGGGGGTTCATGTTCCAAATCAGGTCAATGTTCCAAATGATGTCCATGTTCCAAATCAGGTTCATGTTCCAAATCAGGTAAATGTTCCAAATGATGTCCATGTTCCAAATGATGTCCATGTTCCAAATGAGGTTCATGTTCCAAATAGTGACAAAAGAATGAAGAGTGACAGAGAAAAGTCTATTGAACAAAGTCAAAAGAAGAAGAGATTATGTAGAGCATGTGGGGAGCTTGGTTATCATGATAGTCGTAATTGCCCTGGAAAAGTCAAGTGATATTGTAAGTAAACTTTATTTTTAATTTTCTTATATTTATTTTGTTCTAAAGTAATTATGTTTTAAGCAAGTTTAGAACATAAAGTTATTCATATATGTTCTAAAGTAATTCAATATGTTCTAAAGTGTTTTCTCTTTGTTCTAAAGTTACTTTTCTATGTTCTAAAGTGTTTTCTCTATGTTCTAATGTTTATTCTTTCTGTTTTAGTGTAATTTAATATGCTCTAATGTTTAGAATATAAAGTTATTCATTTTGTTCTAAAGTTTTCCTTTATATTTTAACTTTTCTCTTTATGTTCAAAATATTTTCTTTATATGTTCTAAAGTTTTCTTTATATGTTTTAAAGGTTTCTTTAAATGTTCTAAAGTTTTTACTCTATATAATATCATGTGTTCTAAACTAATAGAAATGGCATGTTATAACATTTTTTAATGCTAAATTATGTGCTTATGTTCTAATATTGTTTTTTTTTTTTTTCTTTACAGGTTGGTGAATATACTATTAATCCAGTTGCATGAGATGTTATATATTTAGAAACAATATCTCATTTACTAGCACGTAAAATATTATTCATGTAATTCTTAAAATATAAGAACTCAATTTATTTACTTTTAGAAACAATATATTTTTATTTCTTTTTTGTCCAATTATTATTCAGAGTATCTCTACTAGTGTTTTTCTTATCAATTTTTATGTTAATTAAAGTTGATTATAATGTTTTATAACATCTCCTGTCTTTTCATCTTCCCCCCTTTTCGTAATTATAAGTTGTTTTATTAAGTCAATTTGAACTACGAGTAATGATAGTACAAGCATTTTAGATACCTTTATTAAACAACATTTAGTTGAATCTTGCTTTAATCAACTTTTATTTATTCAAGTTTCTTAACATTGATTTACATATGCCTTCTTAGATATGCACTAAAGAGTGTATGCATTGTATTCAAAAGGAAAAATAAAGCAAAAGTAATGGATTAGAAGCAGCCAGTTTAGAACATAAGCAAATACTTTAGAACATAGATAAAAATAATTAGAAGATTAGCAAAATCAATAATTTGGACATGTAATAAGAAAAAAGTACAACATAATAAGATATAATTAGAATCAAGTTACCAATTGAATGCTTTGGAATCTTGTTACTTTGGCTGTTGTCATTTCTTGTTACTTTTTTTTAATTTTCTTATGTTCTAATGTTCTACACTTTAAGTTTTAAGTCAAAATTAATATATAATAATATATTCTAATATCCTAACTTTATAAGCATATAATTATTAAAACATAATCAAAAATACTTTAGAACATACCCATATAATTTAGAACATGAATATAATTTAGCATATAAGTTTATATGATATATTTTATATTAAAATTTTAGCATTTAATATGATTCAACAATATATTTCTTGTAACAGGTAAATACATAGAACATAAAAAATTACTGTTATATTCTTTGCAAATATCTCTCTACAAATATAAACTTAAGATCTTAACAATCATATATCCATTTTGTTCTCCTTTGACCACTTTTTTGATCTCCTAATCACTTTGTTCCGTTCTTCATTTACTTCTGCTGTTATTATCTTCTCACAATACTCCACTCTTAATTTTTTCATTTGGTCAAACTGCAAAAAAAAAAAAAAAAAAAAAGAGTAACTTTTAGAACATAAACATAAACATTTGGTCAAACTGCAAAAAAAAAAAAAGAGAGTAACTTTTAGAACATAAACAGAAATACTTTAGAACATAAGCATATAATTTAGAACATGAATATAATTTAGCATATAAGTATAAATAAATATAATAAACCATAATATATCTAAACAATAACCAAACCAAACCACAACACTAAAACCATAACACCAAAACCATAAACGAAACTAATTTAAAACATGTATCTTATGTTTTAAACTTACATTGTCTAATTCTAGTCCCGAATTCCATTGTTTTACAGATTCTCCTTCATATGTTTCCATGTGCTTCAACAGGAACACTCCACAATCATGTTTGTTCTTATTGCTCTTCCATGACATACTCAAGTTTCTTGTTTTGAAGGAGGATACAAAGTCACTCTTTATATTTGAGTCAATTGAGTGAACGAAATCAGCAAATGCATTCAACTGAAAAATTGGATAAACTTTAGAACATATAAGGTAAACTTTAGAACATAAAGAAAAACTGTAGAACATATAAGGCAAAAGTTAGAACAAAAGTATAATTAAAAAAATGTAAACTTGATGTCTTACCATTAATCTATGGTAATTTCCATATTTATTGTGAAAAGGAATATTTGGTGGAAGAAATCTGTTGTCAATCAAATCAAATGTTCCTTCCACAAAGTTGACACACAGCAAATAGTAGTGATCTGGTAAAACGACCGGGAAGAAAACCTAATAGATAAACAGAATTAGAACATAGATAAGCAAAATTAGAACATAAGCATGCATTTTAGAACATAAGCATATAGATTAGAACACAAGCATATAATTTTTATAACATGTAGTTTAGAACATAAGTAAGTAGTTTAGAAGATAAATAAGTAGTTTAGAACATAAGTAGATACTTTAAAACATAGATAAAAATAATTAGAACATAAACAAAACCAATAATTAGAACATATAATAAGAAAAAAGTACAACATAATAAGATACCAAATTACCAATTGAATGCTTTTGAAGCTTGTTACTTCGGTCGTTGTCATTTCTTGTTGCATTCTATCAAACAAAGCCTTCATTCTATCATCTTGCCTTTCATTTGATTTGAAGTATTTTTCTGTACAACATATGAGCTGAAAAAGAAAAAGAAATTAAAACATAAGTAATTAGAACATAGGTGCATAGTATAATCTATATGAGAAACAAAAAGAATCTACTCTTAGAACATAGTTATAATTTTAAGTTCGAAAAACATACATAGCATTCAGTACTGAAAAAGAATCTACTCTTCTTGTCTACACCACGTCTTTTATTTTCAAAATTCAATAGGCAAACATAAGCATCCACAACATTGTTCAACATGTGCTTATCTTCTATGAGACTATGAATCTCATCTCTCGTAATCGTTGTCCCCATGTTATCAGCATACAAAAGCTCCCTAAAATCAGAACAATAAAATCAGAACATAAGCATGTAGTTTAGAACATAAACACATAATTTAAAACATAAGAATATAGTTTAGAACATAAGTACCTATTTTAGAACATAAGCATATAGTTTTACACATGTACTTTATAACATAATCTCGTAGCTTAGAACACGCAGTTTAGAACATAAGAATGAAGTTTAGAACATAATTTATAGCTTAGATCATAAGCATATAGCTTAGAACATAAGCATATAGCTTAGAACATAAGCATATAATTTTAAAGTTTTAAAGTCTTACTTATTATCTCCTTGAGCAAACGCATACTCAGCTACCTTTCTATTGTCCACATTCTTGAAAAGTTTTTCATGTTCAACCATGAAAGGTGAACGCAAGTACATTGGAAGCTTATCCTTTCCTCTTTTTTTCCGTGTCTTTTCTTCTCCTTTTTCTTCTCCTTGTTTCCTACTTAATTCAATTAAAAAATATCACATAGATAACAAAAACCATAACTAAATCAAACCAAAATTTATTGATAACAAAAACCATAACCAAATCAAACCAAAATTTATTATTACCAAGTTCTAAATTAAAATTTAACTAAACCATAACCAACATTTGTTTTAAAGTTTACAAAATGATTACCCTTTCTTGTTCTCATTTTTTTCTTCTTTGTTCTTCTCTTCATTCTTGCTTCCTTCATTTTCTTTCTTCTCCTCTTTTTCCTCCTTTTTCTTCTTCCCCTTTTCTTCTCTCTTCTCCTCTTGGATCTCCTCTTTTTCCTCCTTTTTCTTCTTCCCCTTTTCTTCTCTCTTCTCCTCTTGGATCTCCTTTTTTTCCTCCTCTTTCTTCTTCCCCTTTTCTTCTTTCTTCTCCTCTTGCTTCTCTTCTTTTTCCTCTTCTTTCTTCTTCTCCTTTTCTTCTTTCTTCTCCTCTTTTTCCTCTTCTTTCTTCTCCTCTTTTTCCTCTTCTTGCTTCTCCTCTTCATCCAATGTAGGTGGATGATCTGGATTTAGAAAAGCACAATTTAGAACATTTGCTGTCACTTCTTCGTAAGTGAGTTCTGCTTCATTATCTTCTTGATTTTCTGGGACATCAAACCATAAGTAGAAACAATAAGGACACAACATAGAAATAGTTGGAAAAAATTTAGAACATTAGAAATAACTAGAATATAACCAGAAAAATTTAGAACACAAGAAGTAACTTTAGAACATAACTAATTTACAACATAATTATATTATTTAGAACATATGCACATAATTTAGAACATAATCATACAATTTAGAACATATGCACATAATTTAGAGCATAACTAATTTCAAACATAATCATATTATTTAGAAAATATGCACATAATTTAGAGCATAACTAATTTAGAACATAATCATATTATTTAGAACATATGCACATAATTTAGAACATAATCATATTATTAGAGCATATGCACATAATTTAGCACATAATCATATAATTTAGAGCATATGCACATAATTTAGAACATAAGCATCTGATTTAGAAAAAATTTAGAACATCAGAAATAACTTTAGAACATAACAGAAAAAATTTATAACATAAGAAGTAATTTTAAAACAAATCTAGTAATATTATTTCAAAAGAAAAAAGTTTGAAAATAATGTAAAACTACCAACTGCTGGTGAGGGGGTCAATAACTTGAAACTTGGAGGAGTTATATCAAAAGGTTGCTTCTTTTTTGGAGGAATTGGGGTTTTTGGTGACTCCTCATTCCTTTTCTCTTTCTTCTCAATTTTTTCCTCCTCGTTTCTCTCTTTTCTGTACTGCTCTTTTTCTTCTTCTTTTGATCCCAAATCTTCATAGCAATTACACCATAAAAATTAAGTATTATAGCAAATAGCAAAAAATAATTAGAAAATAAAAAGTAACTTTAGAACATAAGAAATATATACAATTAGGAGACAACCTAGAAATAGTTAGAATATAAAAAATTAAGAATTAACTTTAAAGCATAACCAGAAAAAATTTAGAGCATAAGAAGTAATATTAGAACATATCTAGTAAATATTAGTACATAAAAAATGAATTTGAAAATAATGTGAAATTACCAACTACTGGTGAGGGAATCAACAAGTTTTTGTCTTTATTCTCTTCATTTCTCTCTTCTTTGTTCTTATCTTTTTCCTCTTCCTTTGATCTCAAATCTGCTTAACAATTAGAACATAACTAATTTAGTACATAACTAATTTAGAACATAACTAATTTAGAACATAATCATATAATTTAGAACATAAGCATGTGATTTAAGCGCATGTTTTTAGAACATAAAAAAGTACTTTAAAACATAAGCATCTAATATAGAACATAAGTATAATTTGGAAATTAAGCATGTACATGTGAAATTACCAACTGTCGGTGACTTTGGTGACCTTGTTTCCTCGAATTTCTTCCATGCCTTATCCATAACCATATCCAATTCTTCAATAAATGCCGGTTCATCGAAGACATGTTGATCTTGGCTGAGTATAGAAGGGCTTTTCTTTTCTTCTTGGTTCACGAATGTCTATAAAATAAGAAATTATAATTTAGAACATAATATGCATAATATTTATATAAATTTATTATACTTTAGAACATAAACTGAAAATACTTTAGAACACAACCAGAAAATACTTTAGAACATAATTATAATACCTTTGTTGTGTACTTGCACCATATGTTGTCTATGAGATGTTGCATTTTTCCTGTTGTTTCTTCCTCAACAAAAAGATCTTTTGCTTGTTCTAACATGCCATACATCTCTTTAACATTCGAGGCAAGTGTTTTTGCCAAATCTCCAAATTTGCTCAAAAAGCCCTTCATTAGAACACAAAAATATTTTAGAACATAAAGGACATAACATGGATAATTTAACAGAAAAGGATTAAATGGAGCATAAAATATAATTTACAATATAAACTAAATCATACCATCATGTCATTTCGAGAAGTTGTAGAACTAGAACCTATTGATGATTTTTCCATTCTCTTCTCTTTTTCCTTTTGTTTTGGTTGTTTCTTTTTTCCTTTTGGTGCCTTCTAGTATATAAATTATAAAATTTAGAAAACAACAACATAAAGTGTAGTGTTTAAACATAAACATATACAAATATCATACCACAATTGATTCCATTCTTTCCAAGAGTTTTCCATATCCAAATCCATGATCTTTTTCAAACTTATATCTCACTTGAATCCTTTCCTTTGTCCACACCGAAATTAGTGGACATTTTCTTGGTTTTTCTAACCCTCCTCTTTGTAGACGATCAAAATAGAATACCTATTTAGTACATGTTAAGAATTAATTAGAATATTTTTCACACATTTTCAACATAACAAGAATAATATATATACATAATGGTAAGAATTTAAAACTTACCATTAGAAAAGGTAAAGGACCTGTAAAGTAAGAATTTCCCTTCTTCCATACACTTACAGAATCTTTCAAGTGCTCAATCACAAATGTGCACCAATCCAATTCAGCAATTTTCTTTACATCCATACAACTATACAAGAATTTAATGTATAGTTGTGGGTTGTTTGTTGATCGAATGCAACAATTGACAACACATACCACAAAGTTCCAAAGAAATTCATCAGGAACTGATTTTTCCTTCTTCAATTCTTGAATTCTGTCAATCAATCTCTTGTTGGTTGGACTTCCCTTTTAGAGGTAAAAAAAAACATATAAATTAAAACCTATGGAGATAATAGATCTATTTTAAAGCAAAAAACACTTTAGAACATAAGCAAAGCACTTTAAAACATACAATTTATAACATAAAATTCATACTTTAGAACATAAAATTTAAAACATAACCACATTATATCATCATACTTTTTTTGAGGCCAAACTTGCTTCTCCAAGCTTTTAGAAACTTGCTCCATTTCAGATTTGACTCATCATTTGGTTGCTCAATCCTTTTGCCTCCCAATGGCAACCCATAAGCCAAATGAACATCAATTGCCTCCAAAAAGATTTCTTGTTTTCTCTTTGGTAACATCAAACAACATCTCTTTGTGTCAAAATTCGTAACCAAGTTTTCTGTCAACCTAGAATTATAATGAAAAATGTAAGATTTAAAGCACAATACAGCTATATTTAGAATATAATAGTCAATCTTTAGAACATAGAAGATTAAAACATTTAGTATAATATTTAAACTTTTGAACATAATTTAGAACATTATATAATAAAAAAAGTCTATTTTAGAACATAATAAACATACATTAGAACATAACAAAAAATTAATTTAGAACATTAGTGTATAGCAATTCAAACATGAGAGTTCATAATTTTAGAATACAAGAAGTAACTTTAAAACATAAGTAATTTACAACATAATCATATTATTTAGAACATATGCACATAATGTAGAACATAATCATACAATTTAGAACATATGCACATAATTTAGAACATAGCTAATTTCGAACATAATCATATTATTTAGAACATATGCACAAAATTTAGAGCATAACTAATTTAGAACATAATCTTATAATTTAGAACATTAGTGTATAGCAATTCAAACATGACAAATCATAATTTTGAACATAACATTGATAATACTTATGATTTTAGAATATGATTTTAGAACATAACATTCTACTACTTACGTAGAATTAATATGGATTGGTAAATCCAATTCCAAAAAGCCTCCAAAACCAATGTTCCGAATAGCTTGCTTTTGTTTTTCCGAAAGATTTATCAACACATCCTTCATGAATTGAGTAGGAGATACTCTTTGATAAGGTTGCCTCTTAACTAGTTTATCTTGCTCATTAGCTTCTACTACTTGGACATCCTCACCATCTTCTTCTTTTTCAATCTTTCTTTTCTTCTTCTTCACATCCTCACCATGAATAGATAAACATAATTAGAACATAGATAAGCAAAATTAGAACATAAGCGTGCACTTTAGAACATAAAAATAAAGATTGTAAAGATTAAAGAGTATTATTACCTGAGTTTGATTTTTTTTATTGATTTTTTGTTCCTCCTCACTATCATCTTCCATCTCCTCTTTTTCATCTTTCTCTTTCATCTTTACATCACCCTTATTATCATCCTCACCATCATCTTTACTATCATTATTCTTGTCATCATCCTCAACATTATTACCCTCTTCTTCTTTTTGATCTTTTCCTTCTTCTTGATCTTTTTCTCTTCCTTCCTTTTTTTTGCAATTTTTGAGGTGGTTGAAGCCTTGTTGGAAGTTTTCTATGTCTTATAGCAACACTTTTACTTTCAATATGCTTCTCAAATTCCGATCTATCAATTACTTCCGCTTCAACGTTTTCAACTTTCCTTTAAAAACAATTAAAAATAATTAGAATACAACTAACATTAAATAGAGTGCAAATATAAAGGGATAAGATGAACATAAACTATAATGGATACATATTAGAACATAATACAAATCTTCAGAACATAAGAGAAAATTTTAGAACATAATGGAAAACTTTAGAACATAATGGAAAACTTTAGAACATAATACAAATCTTTAGAACTTAAGGGAAAACTTTAGAACATATTGGAAAACTTTAGAACAAAATTTAAAACATAATAGGTAAAGTTTAGAACATTAGTTTAGTTACCTTTTTCTTACATAAGTAATTTCTTCTTCTTGTATATTAGTAACTCCTTCTTCTGATTTTTCTTCATTTTGGCCTTGCATTTTACTGCAACATTAAGAAATCAAAAACATTAGTAACATTCCAACATTATTATTATATTTTTGAACATAGGAATAATTTAGAATATGCTGAAAAATAGTTTAGAACATGCTAGAGAGTGAAAAACCCAAAATAGAATGAGTAAACTAGAAATTTAAAAGACAAATGAAACAGAAACATGATAAGGTTTGATTGAGTTTATTTTCAACCCATGTTCTAAATTATTTCAACCTATGTTCTAATTTTTTCTTATGTTCCAAATTTTTTCTACCTATGTTCTAAAGTTTGTTTTCAGCCCTGCAATCACAAGTTCACTACTAACAACCCCTAACCAATTAACAACCCCTATGTTCTAAAGGATCCATTAAAATGCACAGTCGATATATAAGTGAACTCCATGCAAAAGGATCCGAAATACAATGCATAGTTCCCAATATGCTGAATTGCTGATTCTATAATACATCACCGCAGAACAAAAATGTCAACATAATTCACAATCACACAGGCAGCATTCATCACTTTGGAGTGCAACGAAAGGGTTGCAAGCTGATTGTAGAATGAAGACCCAATGAACTAGAGAAACTCAAGTATAAGACCATAAAAGGCCTGGAGAACACAAAGGAATCTGAGTCACCAAAGAAATAAATCCTCACCAAAGCCAATTGTCATGTTGCTGCTGATGGAGTCAAACCTTGCAAAGGTCTAGCATGGGGAAGAAGTCGAGTACCATATGCTGTTAGCTGAGTTTACTAATGAAAAGCTAATTAACATGCCTCAGTCTTGGTTTAAATTTATAACAAAACCTCAAAGAAATTAACCACCAGCCTCATAAAATCAAGCAATGTCACTGCGATCAAGCATATCGATCAAAGTCATTTTGACAACATTCTAATTTTACGCCTTTTTTATGATTCCTCTTTGATTGTAATGTCACATCGTATTATGAACGAATTGACAGCGATGGGTCGGGATGATAACTGATTTTATGTTGTCTCTGTTCTAGATGCTCTATTATTGAATTTTCTTCGGTACATTTTCCCATTGAATAATTCAAAATATTAGCAAAATCGAACTAAAATCAAGCAAAATTCGAACTAAAATCGAGCAAAAATCAAACAAAATAATCGAACAAAAATCGAACTAAAATTGAACCCTAAATTCGAACACTAAAGCTATCTAACTTACTCAAAAATAATAATATGTGCTGGTAATTCGAGGCCTCTGGGTTGTGTCATGGGCGTTCAGTATAATATGAATTTTTTCATAAAGAAAAGATGCAAATAAATAAATAAATAAAAATGACTAGCCATTTATCCAAAAAAACCTATCCTCAAACTTACTCAAAAATATATCGAATGTAAAAACAAAATCCACTTGAACATCATGCTAATTTCATAGAAATTTAAACAAAATCGAAAAGAAAAACATACAAAATCGGCTTTAACTCATGCAAAATTCATGAAAATCAAATCGCAAAAATCAAAATCGCCAGTTTGCAAACATCATGCGATTGAAATCACAAAATCGAATTGAATATCATGTGAAATTCATAAAATTAGAACATAATCAAAGAAAAACGTACCTGATTTGAGCAATTTAGGTTGTTTTGCAGCAATTTGGGCTAGATTTTGAGATTTGAGGAGAGGGAAAGTAAAGAGGATTGAAAGTTTGAGGAGAGAGAAAAGTATGAACGTTTAGGGAGGGTTTTGGGGGATTTTTTTTTTGTTTTAATCTTGACCGCTCATCCTAATCTAATCCTACGGATGAGATTGGTTCTTATATAACTAGGGTTCTTACATAAGGAGGGGTTCTTACCGGATCCCTCCCCTATATATATATATATATATATATATACATATATATATACATACAATATCATGAAGTTGTAATAACTTTTACCGTCATCACATACAAATGGGTTTAACATTACATACTACCATCTTCCTTTAACAAGGGTATTAAAAGGAACACATTTTTATTAAAACTAAGGAGATTAAAAAGGGCAATTTCAAGATCAAATAACTCCATATCATCCTCCAATTAACCCTAAATTCGACTTGTCTTCGCTTTTCGATCTATTATATTGGGTGCTTCCAAAATATAAGTTTTATGTTTTAGAAAAATTCACATTAATTTATTAATCTGAAGTTAACTGGATTAGTCATAATTTAATTATTGGGTGCTTCCAAAATCTAGGTTAGTTAAGGATTAATTAGAAGTTAATTGGGTTAGTCATAATTTAATTATTTTAATTAAGTATTAATAAGTTAGGTAATTATGATTATTGATTATTAATTATTAATCATAACTTGTATTTAATCTGTTATAACAGATCGCATACAAGTTGTGTCTTGTTTAAAGAAAATACATATGAAAGTTTATCTTGTTTAAAAATAATTCAAAGTTTGTCAGGTTTAAAAGAAGGTCACACAAAGTTTGTATTATTTATGTAAATTTTTCCATTTACAAATTACATAAAATTATGGGAAATTCTACACGGTGGCTTCATGGTTTTGAGTTTTCTACGTGGAAGACGAACTTTTTTCCAGCTCTCTTCAGTGGCACCAAGGTTTAGAAAAATCTATATAATGACCTTTTTTAGGGTTATGGCTAACCTTTTTAGTTAAAATGGTTAACCTTTTTTTTTATTAAAAAATTATTTAAATTATATTTTAAAATAATAAAATTTAAAAAAAAAACAAAAAAAAAAACCACCCCAACCCAGCCAGCCACCCCATGAACCTCCTCTACCTCCACATCCACCACGAACTCCTCGAAAACCACCCCAACCCAGCCAGCCACATCGGAAACAACCCCTCTCCCCAGCACCACCGTCAATACCGCCTTCCCTTCCACCCCCCATACTTGAAACAAACCCACAAATCCCCACCCATCACCTTCGAATCCGCCACGAAACCACCGCCCTCCCTCTCTATCACCGTGAAACCGCGCGTCGATCCACCCTCAAAACCCAATCAAACCCTAGCCTATGGGAAAAGAGAGAACTTGCGTGAAGAAAAAGAGGTGCTAGCATCTGAATTTAGGGTTTCGCGGTGGGGGTGGCGGTTGTTTCATTGGACTTTGTAGTTGTTTTGGGGATTGGGGTGGCGGTTTTGGGGGTCAGGGCTAGGTCAGGTGGGGTTGTGGAAGGCCGGCCGGCTAGTTTTGGTGGTTTCGGTGGTCGGGGTGGCTGGATTCTGATAGGTGGCTGGGAATTTTTTTGTTTTTTTGTTTTTTTAAAATTTTTTTTATTATTTTAAAATATAATTTTAATAATTTTTAAATAAAAAAATAATGGTTAGCCATAAACCTAAAAAAGGTCACTATGTAGATTTTTCTAAACCTTGGTGCCACTGAAGAAAGTTGGAAAAAAGTTCGTCTTCCACGTAAAAAACTCAAAACCGTGAGGCCACCATGTAGAATTAACAAATTTATATATATATATATATATATATATATATATATATATATATATATATATATATATATATATATATATATATATATATCCCCTACAGTATCGTCACCGCAGTAGAGTTTAACCACCAAGTTCGGGATGGATTGGTGTGGTTCCTCTACGCCTAGGACACCAGAATATCGAACCACGAACTAAGAAAGGCATGAGAGAAAGGCATATTAGCTAGTGATTGTGAGGCCCCAATTCTTAACTGGAGGGGACACCAAAGTCCTCTGCCCTTCCATCTCTTGGATAGAGATAGATAGAGAGGGAGGGCAGGGTTTTTGGTTTTTTCATGTTGTCAAAGAGTTGACCAATGGTTTTTTCGTGTTGTCAAAGAATTGAACAATGAAAATGGATTGGATGGCGAGTGCCTGATCGAATTGATCGGGCCATGTAGGAACAAGGTTCAAGTCTGTGGGTCTGTTAGGATGCCTCAGCTGCATACATCACTGCACTTCCACTTGACACCTATCGTAATGATAAACGGCTCGTCTCGCCGTGACCTTCTCTTTCCAAACTTCTGTCGCTCACCCCTCAGGGGCAGAGAACCCGTCACTGCCTCAGCTGTGCTATCGGCAGTGACGGGGAAGTAGGAATAGGAGAGCACTCATCTTGGGGTGGGCTTATATATATATATATATATATATATATATATATATATAGGGGAGGGATCCGGTAAGAACCCCTCCTTATGTAAGAACCCTAGTTATATAAGAACCAATCTCATCCGTAGGATTAGATTAGGATGAGCGGTCAAGATTAAAACAAAAAAAAAATCCCCCAAAACCCTCCCTAAACGTTCATACTTTTCTCTCTCCTCAAACTTTCAATCCTCTTTACTTTCTCTCTCCTCAAATCTCAAAATCTAGCCCAAATTGCTGCAAAACAACCTAAATTGCTCAAATCAGGTACGTTTTTCTTTGATTATGTTCTAATTTTATGAATTTCACATGATATTCAATTCGATTTTGTGATTTCAATCGCATGATGTTTGCAAACTGGCGATTTTGATTTTTGCGATTTGATTTTCATGAATTTT